GATGCCATTATGATTAGTTAGCATTGATGCCATTTTATTTTGTTAGATCAATTGCAATCTCATCCTGGATATCCAAAGCAACCACCGGTGGGTGAAAACTATGACAACACATTATCTATCTATACTCTAACTAAATGTCAATAACTTAAGAAAACTTTTGAATACCTTAGGAAAAATACGGTTAAAATAAGCAACACCCTAAATTGGTATGTGCACCATATTTGTGGGTATTTTAACCAAGGATGGATCTTGGTTCAATGGAAAGATTTTTCCAATGGGACCTGTAAAATTAGAAAAAATAAATGTTTGGTTAATCATTAAATTATACTATTTAACAAAAAATTTCTTTCAAAGAATTTGTATAGAGAATCGAGTTCGTCATAACATGGTCTAGGTAGGGCGATCAATAGATTTGATTCTGATTGAGCGAAGAGTATCCCAATTAGATCTATTTAGACATGATTCTCATCCGAACCATTTTAATCCTTCCAGGTCTATTGTTAGCAAATTAATCCTTCCCTTAGCTATTAACTTTCATATATTAGCCGTCAATTATTTATATTGATTTTATACTCCTCCACAACCAAACTTCAGTCGTTGTTTGAATGGAAAATTTTCAAGTGTGGAGCAATATAAATACATTCTAATGTTTACAAGCATGGTAATACGAAATCAATACTCATAATTGGAGGCATAATATGAGAAATATAATAGTTGAGGGGATAATATAAGATAAAAGATATAGGTGAGGGTTAAAATATAATTTTTTTCAAGAATTGAGTTATCATCTAGCCCATTCACCCCTCCTATTGGTACTCTTTTCTTTTGTCCATTCCACATACAAACAAACAACCTCTATTGCATCTTCCATAAAATATATTTATAATTACACCTCATTGATGCAGACAATTGAATTATTTACATTTTTGTCCCTTTCAAAGATATAATTAAGAAAGACCCTATAATGGTTTTCTCAACCTGGTCTAGGCACTGTTCAAAAAAAAAAAATCTAGTCTAGGCAGGGGTGATCAATAGATTAAGTTCTGATCGAGTGAAGAATATCCCAATTAGATCCATTTAGATATAATCCTCATCTGAACAGTGAGCCACCGTAGAGGCCTAGCTTTAAGGCCAGCTTCATCTTTGGGTGCTTATTCTAATTCTTATATGGTAGATTAATTGGATTCTAATATTATAGATGGAATTGTAACACTCGATACTGTTACCTATTAAAAAAAAAAGATAGATATATCTTCAATTTCAGATTTCCCTCAGTTTTTCTCAATTAGTATGTTCAATTTATTTTTTTATATATAGTGATTGATGATTATTACAAGTTTCATACATCATTATTACAACGAAGTCTAAATAAATCTCAAATCGAAAAGAATAGCAGAATTGTAGCACCTAACACCATTAAAATATTAACGTGGTTTTGATAAATTTTGAAAATTGATATTATGCATGTTATGACGAACTCGATTTTCAAACTAAAATTCTTACGAACAGTCAAGTCAAACTCGAGCTAAAATATTTCCGTATAGGGATAATGTTTATATCCTTTGTGATGACTTTAGTTATTATGCATGTTATGATTTTTCAAAGTGTGAGTTTGATGATATTAGATATGAGGATAATCTAAAATTCATATTGGTAGAGATGAATTTCCATTTTATGAGGGAATGATTTTTTAATTTGTGAAGATATTAGATTATTTATTCAATAAATTATGGTTTCCATTTTGTTGCCATGACATCGTGATATTATTTTTAGAATATTTATGATTGACGAAGGCCATTGGCCGTGCATTGCATGGGATACCGCTAGTGCAACTTGATGAAATTGTTGATGATGTAGTTGGGGTGGAAAAACTCCCTCTAAATGACAAACTCGATTGTCAAATTTAAATTATTACGAACAGTCAAGTCAAACTTGAGCCAAAATTGAGCTCAATTTTATAGTAAAATTTTTCAAAATTCAATCGTAGAATAATTAGTTTCTCAATAAGATCCCCCCAAATCTATAAGATAAACTATAAAGTCAAATCCTAGAAAATTAAATTATCCAAAAAGTTATTTGAGAGAAGAGATGATGGGGAGGTGTGTACAGACTAGAACTACTTGATGATAGTTATTCATCTTTCGAATCACAATTGTTCAAAAATAAAGATAAAATTATTTGTAGATAGAAACCTAATTGAGAGTTGAACTGCACATTACTCAATTTGACTTATTTAAAAAACGAGTTTAAACAGTTCAAAAAAAAAATGAGTTAAAAATTATATGAAATGCAAATCAATTTAAAATTTAAAAACCATTTACATAGAAACCTAATCAAGTTCAACTACACGTTACTTAATTTCACTTGCTTGTTCTCCACTTAGTTTTGGCCATTTGGTCTACACACGAAAACGCTATGCAATTTCCTCTTAATTGTCCACAAACATAAAAAAAAAAAATTTAGGATCCATCTTTAGTTGGTCTGCATACGAAAATGCATAGCAAATGCTCGGACCCTTGACCACTTTTAGGATTAAAAACCAAAAGAAAATTTTGGAAAAAGGACTAGGTTTATTTTCAACGAAGAAATGGTCCTCATTTCTCCTCTACTTTACTCCTTTCACAAATATTTTGAAAACGTTACTAGCGAGTGAGATTTGATTACAATTCAATAATGTTAAATTAAAACTTAATAAGTCTAAAAATTTACGATCAATTCTAAAAATTTGGGATTAAGCCCAAGGTTTTTTTCTCAATCTTAAATTGGTGCACTTACTCATTGGTAAACTTGTTTGAATTGTAACTTAATTTGTTTAAGTGGTAACTAGAGTCATGAAAAACTTATTCCCTTTTATTCCGGATAAGTTACATTATCCCTTCTTTCCAATCACGTAGTTGTAACTCATTGCTTATCTTTGAAATTTCTCTTTTTCGATGTTTTTAAATTCAATTACAGTTGATATTTTGTTGTATGCTCGATCAGGAAGTTTTTGGGTACGTTCCACTTTAATTTTTTTTTTTTTTGCAAACTGAATAATTAACATGGTATCATGGAAATTTACAATATAAGAAAGCAAGTTGCCAATTTGCATTAAATTAAAATATAGTGGTTTAGGGTGGTTGGCTACCTCTCACTCTCTTAACCACAAAAGTAGAGGATCAATCCGTTCCAAATACTAGATTTAGTCTCTTATGCCTTCTCACACGCAAGTACAAGGCAGTTTCTGTATGTTGTTTTTGAATTGGAAATCTTTTTTCTTTTATGTACAATAATATATCTGGTCGGGGAAGAGGATGGAAGCTGAGCCGAGCCGCTAGGCGGTATGTGATGATCAAATTTAGGTATTGGCCATAATAAAGATTATGTCTTATTTCCACCGCAAAATCCTTGATAGAAATCAACCATTTAAGCCTCGAATCTTGATTTGGCCATCTTCGGTCCTTATTTAAACCCTTACCCCAAATTTGAGGAAAAAAATAGTAAAAAACTTGGTTTGATATAGATCTCTCCAATAGAGAAACTTTTTTTAAAAGTAAGAGAAGCCCAAATTTAAATGAAGACAAATTCAAATATAAAAGAGAATAAAATATGACCATTGAATTTTTAAAGGAGGAAAAAATCTCATCATTAAAGACTTTGGTAGATTTCAGTCTCTCTTGATTTGAGTAAAAAAAGAGTCTCCAATTATAAAATATTGATATAGGTCAAACATTAGAGAAGGTTTTTAGAAGTTTTTTTATCCAAAAATTAAATTTGAGTTTGGAAAAGGTAAGGCCGGTTTTTAGAAGTTTTTCTATCCAAAAATTAAATTTGAGTTTGGAAAAAGGTAAGGACGGGAGATGCTCTTACCAGAGCAAAATATGCGCTTGTTCTTCTCAACTTTTTTTTTTTAGCAGCCATGTCGACTTTTTGAATGGAAAATGTAACACCTCTTTACCCCTCTCTCCAAAAAAACAACCTTCTTGTGTGTTAAAATTCTCCAAAAAACAACCGAGTCAAACATGAGCTACTTGGATCCTGTAACAGTTCACTTTCAGGGCACCCTGTTGTCCATAAATAACTTCTTTTTCGTCAAAATGCTTCTTGTTATGTTTAAAGTTAAGACAAATCTATTGGAAATAACTAGCCCATTGTTTACCTATGAAATTTCTCTTTTGCAATGTTAGAAATGATTTATTTTGAAATTCAATCACAGTTGATCTTTTGTTGTATGCTCGATTAGGAGGTTTGTGGGGGATCTTTCCCTTTAGATTTTTTGTTGCAAAGTTAAAGAACAATGTTATCATGAAAATTTACCATAAAAAAGCAAGTTGCCTACTTGCCTTAAAATGTTATCTTGTTGGAGTCGTCTTCTTGGAAAGAGGATGTGTACATGAATAAGCATTCATTAGTTAAGGAGGTTGGGGCGCCCAAGCGCAAACAATTGGTGTCTGTGACAATAGGATTGGCATTGTTTAACCAATTGGGCAGGCAGGGTTCTATTGTTGGCCTAATGACTCATGAAAACTGATATGACCCATGTTGCGAATCCAATAATTTATCTCCACGTAATTTTTTTTATCTAATTTGCTGACCATGCTATTGTTGGGCAGTTTGACAATAATGATTCCAGATAGCTAGCTACTAACTTTTCTTATAAGAAGAATTTGAAATAATATTTGTATTTTTTCAATTAAAGTCTAATGCTAAACATAACAGCTATTGATGTTGATCATGCAAGTAGATTCTAATTTGTGATAGAAGACTAAAATAAGTAAATCATGCATTGTTTCTCTATAGTTGAATTTAGTGAAATTTTAGCAATTGCCTCAATGGTGTTGAGTCTCGTTTTCGAGACTCACTTTCCCTCCTCTCCACCTACGTCTAATTCTCCCTCGGAATCTCATTTTCATGTTTTTTTATCTTTTGACAATTCGGTTTTCAACCTATTTGGCTAGTTTTTGTGTAGCAACATTTAGTCTTTACAAGAATGATGTTCTTTACAGTTTAATAAGTTGGTCATGACAGAGTTTCATGTACCCTACAGGGCATCCCAGAGTACATCCCCCCTTTGGTATTCTATTAAGCGTGCATCGGCATATATCATTGTGTTATCTTCTTACTCTGCCTATGGTAAGAACAAATACACTATAATTTCCATTGCAAACAAAGGGAGAGCTCTCGGAATTGCGATGAGATCTGATATTTTTACTTTTTTTTTTTCTTAAAGGTAAATATACTCCACAATACAAATGGCTTAAGCAACAGCTCCCCAAGGTTAACAGGGCCGAGACAGCATGGCTAATCATTCTCGTTCACTCTCCATGGTATAACAGTAACAACTACCATTTTATGGAAGGAGAAAGCATGAGGGTAATGTATGAGCCTTGGTTGGTTCAGAACAAAGTTGATCTGATATTAGCAGGCCATGTTCATTCCTACAAGCGTTCCGTAAGCTTCCATCCCAATACATATTCTTGCCTTTCATTGTTTTGTGCTAAGTTCGTTGGTTAGAGAAGTCATAAAATTGTAATCCAAACATTGAGCTTTGAAATGTAAATCAACCACTAAAATTTCAGATATACTGTTTTTGTAACCTGAACTCATGACATCCAGATCACAATATAACAATCTTAGCACAACTACAAAATCCGCCCTCATAAACTACCTTAAATGAAAATCTTTTTTCGACTGTGTAGGAACGAATGTCGAATGTGCAGTACAATGTTAAAGATGCTTCTGCTCCAATTTACATAACAATTGGCGACGGGGGAAATATAGAAGGCATGACTGATAGGTGAGACACCTACATCCTCTTATATACACCATCCCCATGTGCCATTACAGTTACTTACAGTTAGAATTTTTGGTTTTGTGCAGTTTTATATACCGACAACCAAGTTACTCGACCTATCACGAAGCAAGCTTCGGGCATGCTTCCTTAGAAATTAAGAACAGAACTCATGCCTATTATACTTGGCACCGTAACTAGGACAGTGATGCTATTGCTGCAGATTCAATCTGATTTTATAACAGATACTGGTATCCAAATGAGGAGAGCAGCTAGAATTTTTTATTTGTTTAGTGGAGTTGTTCCCCTGAAACTAAACTTGTTTTTTTTGGGGACACCACTTTAATGATTTCTTGTTTTTTACGTACAACTTGTTTTTGGTAATAACCCCTAGTGCTCTTGTTTCAAATCTAAATTTCGTTGGTTGAACATGATTGTGCGTATATTAAGGTCAACTCCGAGGGGAATTACCTCCCTCAAAAATAGCTCTAGTCCTTTCTGGGAGATAATTCCTAGTTAGAAAGTGTCGCATGCAATACTAGCAACAGTCAATTAGGACTTGCATGGTTGGCAGGGAGTCCAATCCACATTCAAAGTCAATGGCGGGGCTAAAAATTCTTTTTAGGGTGGACACTTTACTTAGAAACTTCAAATTTTTTTCTCATGATAAATAAAAATAAAATAATGTATTTAAATTTATAGTATTGTATTTTACAATTAAAGATTCATGAAATAAAAAAATTATTGAACATCGATAAATATAGCATATACAAATAAAAAAATAGGCTGATTATAATCCTTTACAACAAATGATACTAACTGTATAAAAGATACTATAGTTTTTCTCTAATATAACTAATCAAGCTATTAGCGATTGATCACTCGTTACGTTATTTAACCTAATTTTCATAATATCTATAACTTTAAAAATGAGTCCGACATGTTAAAGATTTATCTAGATGTATCCATAAAGTGTTCAAAGTGTGTCCAAAAGTTTATGATTATTATTTTTTTTTTTAAAAAAAAGTTTAGGGTGGCTCTGTGCCCCCCCCCCCCCTCCCCTCCCTAGTCCTCACGTGGCTCTGCTATTGCCCAAAGCTTGGTTCGTCTAGTTAATGGAGGTCCGTCATACTAATTAAATTGTTCTGACACTCAGGAGGTTGACCTCAAGGGCTTGTAAAGTTTTAAATTTAAAACATCTAGATTTACAGCTCATCCCTATCTCCACTTGAACTATATTGGGGTTTGATTGATTGTATTTTATTGCTATGTCCACCAGACTGGGCAGGCTTAAGGCCATCAAAGCCTGGTTTTAATCTCCATAATTTATAATTATAACCACCCTACCAAAATAAAAATTCAATTTTACAAAAATTTAAGTCATACAAAAAAGTTAAAGTTAGATTTAAATTGAATATAGTTTTGACCTATTTCGCTAGCTCATGAACCAAAAAATTTAAAAAAAAAAAAAAAAGTACCTGTAAAAGTGGATATAAAGTTGTCAACTCAAGTGGAATTAACAAAATTTGTTGAAGAATCTTTTAGAATTGATTATTTTATATATATGGTAGATCAATCTATTTCTTCGTTATAGAATAGATTTGGACAATTTCTAATAATGAAAATATATTTGGTTTTTTATTTAATTTAAAGAAACTAAAATCATTAGGAGATGATAGTTTAAAAAAATATTGTCTTGATCTTGAGTGTTTTCTAAAATATGATAGTTTTTTCTGATATTGATTGTTTAGATTTGTTTTCAGAAAAAGTTTTAAAGGAAATTTTATCTACAAAATAAAGTACTCAAATTGAAATATTAAGTTATATAACAAGATTAGATTATTTTCTGAATACATGCATAGTTTATAGAGTATTATTAACAATTTCTATAACTATATGTTTCTTTTATATAAAGAAGTTTTTCAAAATTAAAATTGATAAAATCTTATATAAGATCAACTATGTTACAAGAAAGATTAAATGAGGTAACAATACCAGTAATCAAAAAAAATATGGCAATGAAACTTCAATATAAATATTTAATTAATATTTTTGCATCTCAAAAAGCAAGAAAATTTTTTTTAAAATAATCTAAACCGTGTGTCGGTCTCATGAACAATTTCAGATTGGCCACTAGATGGGGGTGCACAGTTAGAGCAATGAGAAGACTCAGCCTGACCCAAACTCTTTTTCAGTGTACCCTCATTTATCAAACTCATGGCATGCATCACCACATCGCTAGGCTGAAACGCAACTCCACTATGCCTTAAAATCTTGGTAATCAAAATGGGAAATGAAAGATTTTGCCTTCTATCCATCACTTTAGATGCATTATAAATAAGATTGAATATGTAAAAGGAAAGATCTATACATACCCCAGTCCCAATTGCATAAAGCAGCTGAGCTCTATTAGATTCAAAATCAACTATATGTCCTCTAGGATTGATATTACACAAAATTATACGATTTAACATCCTATAGCTTAAACCAAGGTTTTTCTGGCCAATTTTTGTGTTCTTATCCACCCAAACAATAGGGATATCACAAATTTCATCAATAACCTTCCCAATTTCAGGGACTTGTTCCTTTTTCTTATAAGGATACACAATGGTATTCTCAGAAAATTAAGGGGCGGGGTACTTCCAAAATTTTTGCAATCAAATCAAGGCTCATGTCTATCACTTTATCCCTAACTTGAGATCTAAAGATGTGACGATCTTATGAAAGTTGTGGATGTTTGCACAAAATAACCTCACCAATTTATCATATGCTTTTTCATCCTTTTCAACATCAAACAAAGAATTTCAATTTCGATCATCAAAAAATCTAGGGCAATCTGTTGCTCCTAAATTATCCAATGAAACACCACGCTCCATTAACAAAAGACGATGACAAAAGCATGAATTATACGTCTTTTCAGTAGCATTATTGTAGAATCTTTTATCAACGTTGGAACTCTTGCCTTTATCAATAACTTTCCTCTTCTTAGGTGGTGCAGCAACTCCACCCGCCATCAAGAAAGTGAAAATAACCCACAAAAACACCAACTACAACATGGTTTTCAATATTTGATTTTGAGGAAAATAATAAAGGTTAGGATTTGTTTCACTCGATGAAATCGTTAGGTTCTCGATATTAGTGTCCAAGGAATACGACGATTGAGAGGTGGTTAGCAACAATAACCAACTAATTTCAACAGATAGTGTCAGCCGCTACAATCTATCATTCTAAAGATGATCGATCTCGCAGTTTAGGGTTTGGTAGATAACAAACCCTTGTTTTATCTACGAAGGAAAGGGGGACTAACATAGATAGGTGAAATTTGAGCAAGCGAAATGACAAAAAAACCCAACATAGGTGGCTGTAGTGTTGGACTATTACAGGACATATTTGTGATTTAATAATTAAATGAGATCGATCAGGAAAAATTTTGATCGAAGCCAATTACATAAGCCATTACGCTAGCTCGACCCGATCCCGTTGACGAACTATCCATGCCTACGTCATGGATTAGGTGAGCATCACTGTATAAATTAAGCACACTCACTCCTCACTCGCAGTAGAAGAAATTTGAAGAAAGTAAAAATGGCAACAAAAGTGCCGAGGATCAAATTGGGTAAACAAGGTCTTGAGGTGTCAGCTCAGGGACTAGGTTGCATGGGCATGTCCTTTTTCTACGGCCCTCCCAAGCCCGATGCCGACATGATCAAACTCATCCACCATGCCGTTGACAGTGGTATCACCTTGCTTGACACCTCCGACGTATATGGGCCCCACACTAACGAAATCCTTATCGGAAAGGTACTCCTCACAACTCAGATCTATGCACACCCGCTGTTTGTTTTATGTTTATGTTTCTGTGAAATATTGATGGGTATGGTGATGGGTTTTCTATGTGTAGGCTTTGAAGGGAGGGGTGAGAGAGAAAGTGGAATTGGCGACGAAATTTGGGATCAGGATCACAGACGGGAACAGAGATGTTTATGGTGATCCGGCATATGTGCGGGCTGCTTGTGAGGCCAGCTTGAAGCGGCTTGACATCGATTGCATTGACTTGTATTACCAGCATCGCATTGACACTCAAGTGCCCATTGAAGTCACGGTAAATTTGCTATTTTTTGCCTCTTTTTTCTAATTATGTCATAGAGAATGTTACAGGTTTATTGATTCTGGTGTCGTGTTTTCGAGATTCATATCGAATTAGTGAGTTTGGGTTGAACCTTCGTTGGCAACCCAAGTTGTACCCTTGTTTGGTGTAATTAATTAGTTACTTGCAAAATTTCCTTTCTTTTTTTTTTTTCTTGAAAATTCATTTCTAGTTCTGTTTTGCTAAAATTCATCCATTCAAAATAAATGATTTGTGTTAGAGACAGAAAATGAGTTGAAAAAACAAAAAAAAAGAAAACATAGATTACCAACATCCGGTATGTATTGTTCACTCTATCCTGGACTAGCCTTCAAATTTCTAATGGCAAGAATTATGTACAACTATTTTTGACCAAAAACACAATAATATTATGAATGTGACTATGTTCATCTCCCATTCAATGGTCAGCCATATTTCCTCAATCTTACCTGGATAGAAGGCAAAACTCTGTATCGGGTCTTTCATTGTTTTTATTATCCTGTATTTCCTAGATATCTCTAGATATCTTTCTCAAGGAGACTTACAATAGTTAATAATATATTTACCATATTTTTTAAATGTTTTTACCGTTTTATCGTTGTTTCAAACTTATTTATAAAACATGCGACATTTTTTAAAAACATATTTAATAAACATGCTTTTATAAAAAAAAAACATGATTATAGAACACTCTTTCCCCGCGAGCAGATACAAAAAGATCCTTTTAAAAGCGCGTCTTTTAAATACACTTTTAGTAAAAAGCGTGTTTCTCTTAGACATGCTTATCTTTAAGAAAAATGTTGCAGGGACCTAATTTGAGGAACTGGTTTGGGGATATAATCCAATATAGCTATTGGATTAGAAGGGGACTCCATCGAACATTGAAATTCACAGCTTATCAAACACCTCCATTGAATTAAGTCCCTCACTAGGTCCCTACAGGATTACTCTTTAATATGTGGTATTCAACCGAAAAAATTCATGCCAACTCACTATCTCCTTTTAAGACTTTTATAGTTTTGAATACCTGTTGTCTCCTCCTCATTCTCTAGAATCTCTCTCTCTCTCTCTCTGC